GGATCCTCTCCAGGAAGACCATGAAACTTAGGCAAAAGATTTATAAACCCAGAATTCAGCTTTAAATGTTTTTCCAATTCAGTGTAAGTAATAGCCAAAGGTTGAACATTTAAATCAGGGGCAGCAAGTTCTTTCAAAGTAGCCATTTTTTGTTCAGTTTTGACTTCAAAAAGGTTTCCAAATGTTGTCTCAAAATCAGATTCAGAATCAGCAACAAACACGTTGGAAACTTCACAACCAGACTCAAGCACAGCTTCACACGGTTGGAAATTAAAAGAGTCAAAAAAGTCCAGCCACACTTACCTGGTGATTGTAACCTAGCTCAATTATTTCTCCAATAACTCTTCCACTCCTTAACAGCATGCAAAGTACACAAAGCTGCAACTTGAAACAAGAACGGTATTAGAATTCTTAAAACTTATCTTTATCACTTGATTAAGTGCTGCAAAAAGGGCTGATTTTTTTTATTTGGTTTTAGTTCAAAACTTTTATCATTTAGTATCCAAGCTCTTTTCATTTTGTCCTTGTAGAGAAATTGACAAATAAGTTCCTTATAGCATCTAAAAATGAATCTCGTCTTACTTAAAACTTTTTCTAAACCCATTCATGATATTCATTTAAAAGGGCATATAAAGTCCAGTAGCTCTCTTATTTCAGTCTAAAGACTACTTTTGACGCTGCCCGGATCAGATTTTAGTAGCAAAACATCCTAAAGACATATTAATTTGCATAATAAAGGATATAACTTGACCAAAGATGCGCAAATACCATGATTGGAAATACCTCAAGAGTCAAACAAGGGCGAGAGAGAGCGAATCCAAAAGCTACGACAAGGGTAATTGCTGAACTAGCAGCTCCAGCGGAAGGGGGGTAGATTTTCAAACTTGCAACTACACCCCATCCTTCAATAGCTAATGCAACGCCATAGAGCAAAAGGAATGCACCACTGAGGATAGAAAGTAGAACAATTTGTCAAGTACTTAAATATTCCAAGGAAAAATGATGATAAGAACATGAATTTTTTGGATAACATGATAAAAATTCATTAAAAAATAAGAGAACTCCAAAACTTCAGCATACAGAGAAGAGTTCAACAAAACCTGACGTTTTTCCTACAATCTGCATGTGCATCGTACACATACACAAGTAACACCCTTGGGGAATAGACTACTATCGAAGGTGAAAGGGGGCACCTAGAGAAGACAATAATTACTGAGTTATTAAAGCAAGAAAACATGCCAAGAAGAAATAGGAAGAACATCTCACTGTGGGAGAGGGCCAACATAACAAGCCATTCTCAGCCCTAGATTATTATTTCAAGAATGATCAACTCACAGACAATGCCCTTCCAGCTAGTAGGAAAAGAAATGAGAAGTAACCAACGGATGCACCAACAAAAGCCTTGTCTGGAACAGACCAAAAATCCAATCAAGCATTACGAAGCATGCAAATTGATATTGGTCATTATCCGAGGAGTCCTATGGTGATCTGTGAATCATATCATCACGAGTGACATATAAGAAAGTGATCTTACCTAGAAACCATCCAACAAGAAAGGCCGCCAAAGCCACAAGAGGTGATCAGCCACCTGATTCAACCTTCCTGCCCTATCTTTTATTTCATACTGAAACTCTTCCATCAACAAAATCCATCTAATCAATCTTTGCTTAATGTGTTGCTTCTTTATTAAGTATTTCAAAGCTGAATGATCAGTGTAAATGGTTATCTTAACTCCTAACAGGTATATTCTATATTTCTCAAGAGCAAAGATTACAGCATACATTTCTTTCTCTGTTGTGGTGTAATTTCGTTGGGCTGGGTCAAGTGTAGTACTAGAATATGAAATCACATGAGATTGGTTCCCATATGT